GGTCTGTGTTTCCCTCATGCTTTATCGTTCAGGGCATTGAAGTACCCTCAATCCCAAGATAAGTGGTTTGTGTGTTTCTTTGATTAGAATCCTAGTACAAGACCTTCGTATCACTTGGCTCATCCCAGCATAGGCACAGTCAAGAGTTACTAGTGAATGAGAGTTTCCAGCTGTCGAATTTCCCTTCAGGGGAAAGTGCGGTGCAGTGCACATATTGCAGCCACATCAAAGCCCTTTAATCCCATGTTCCCCGAGTGGAACAAGGCGTCCAGCATCTTTGCAAAGTCACATGGCTGTGAATCTACCACAGATACGTTAGAGCTCCCAGTCACAGAAGGAGCTTGTGCTTTATTTGTAAGGCACAGGGAAACCCACAAAATATTGAACAGAGTGGTGCAGTTCTGTAGGTATATGTCAGAGGACAAAAGGGAGTAATAGAACGTAAACCGTGCATTTCCTTAGCAAAGTTGCTATGTTAGCGGGATAATTGATTCCTAGATGGGAATATTAAAATCTCTCTATGGCCTGAGAGTTCCAAATCTAACCCCTTTTGATCTGAATTTTTGTTTCTCTCTCGGGATTGAGAGCCTTCGTTAGTGCACTAGTCTGTGCTTGTTGGCACTGCTCCCTAAAATGCACATGGAGGGTCTCCTGCAATCCGTGACTGGAATGTCACTGCAGAGTGAGTGGGTCAGCCAGTGGCAGCCTGCCAGCCTAGACTAGGGGCTGCCAAACCTGGACCACTGCCTGTTTTTCCAAGATCTTTGAGGTAAAAATGTGTCTTGGGCTTCCCTGGTGGCGCAGTGGTTGAGGGTCCGCCTGCCGATGCAGGGGACACGGGTTCGTGCCCCGGTCCGGGAAGATACCACGTGCCGCGGAGCGGCTGGGCCCGTGAGCCATGGCCGCTGAGCCTGCGCGTCCAGAGCCTGTGCTCCGCAACGGGAGAGGCCACAGCAGTGAGAGGCCCACGTACCGCAAAAAAAAAAAAAAAAAAAAAAAAAAAAAGCGCCTTACATTTTTATGTGATTGAACAGCTTAAGAGTAATATTTTAGAATACATGATAATTATATGAAGTTCAAATTTCAATGTCTGTTAATTTTTATTGGAACATAATCACGTGCAAAGATTTATGGCCTGAAAAGCCCAAAAAATATGCTCTGTGGCCCTTTATGGAAGTTTGCCAACACTGTGATGTAGGTAATGATAATGGACCCATTTGTAAGTCTCCATGAGTCACAAAGGGCTAAATGTACTGTATCTGTTTTGAAGCTCTGTTATTAGGGGCATATAAGTTTGCAGTTTTTAATCTTCCTCATGAATTAAACTTTGGATTATTGATGCTTTTTGCCTTAAGGTTAGTTTGATTTTATATGGATGCAACCCACTTTCTTTTGATTAGTGTTTGTCAACTATACTTTTCCCATCATTTTGCTCTGAACCTTTCTTCTTTACTTTTTTTTAAAACTTGTTACTGGAGTATAGTCGACTTACAATGTATTAGTTTCAGATGTACAGCAAAGTGAATCAGTTATACCTATACATATATCCACTCTTTTTTAGATTTTTTTTCCCCATATAGATCATTACAGAGTACTGGAAAGAGTTCCCTGTGCTGTACAGCAGGTTCTTACTAGTTATCTGTTTTATATATGGTAGTGTGTATATGTCAGTCCCAATGTCCTAATTTATCCCTCCCCCTCCCTTCCCCCTCGGTAACCACAAGTTTGTTTTTTATATCTGTGACTCTATTTCTTTCTTTCTTTTTTTTTTTTATAACCTATAGGGTTTTTTTTGTTTTTTTTTTTTTGTATGTTTGTTTTTTTAATTTATGGCTGTGTTGGGTCCTCGTTTCTGTGCGAGGGCTTTCTCTACTTGCGGCGAGCGGGGGCCCACTCTTCATCGCGGTGTGCAGGCCTCTCACTATCACGGCCTCTCTTGTTGCGGAGCACAGGCTCCAGACGCACAGGCTCAGTAACTGTGGCTCACGGGCCCAGTTGCTCCGCGGCATGTGGGATCTTCCCAGACCAGGGCTCGAACCCGTGTCCCCTGCATTGGCAGGCAGATTCTCAACCACTGCACCACCAGGGAAGCCCTGTGACTCTATTTCTGAACCTTTTTCTATATTAATATATTTTGGGTGTTTGTTGTAAACAGCATAGAGCTAGAGTTTTTTTAGAAAACTCACACTGACTTTAAAAATGAGTCCATATACATTTATTGTGGTTAGCAATTCAGATTTATAAATTCTACCTCTTATTTTGGACAATTTATCCAACCTTTTCTATGTTTCCTGCCTTGTTTTGAAATAATTTTTTTTCATCTTCTATTTCCTACTTCTAGTTTGGAAGTTATATACCTTATTTCTTTTCTGCAAGTGGTTATTCTAGAAAAATTTCAAATGCATTCTTAAATTATCAACGTTTACAGTTACTGTCTTTACATTTGTCTCAAATATAACTACCCACCTTAATTTCTAGGCCGAGTTCTATTTTTTAATGTATAAAAGGTGGTTATGTTGTACTGTTAATGTTTGTCTCGCTGTACCGTGTAATTATCACTTCCAGTTCTTTTTCTTTCTTCCTGCGTCTCAGCTCTTCCACTGAGGTCACTTTCCTTCTGCCTAACGTAGTGGGAGTTAGACAGCAGGCCTATGTGCCGACCCACTTCGGGTTGATAAAGGCCGACGTGAGGTTTATTTCTCCCTTCTACTCAGCAGAGGTCCCTGCGGGGGGCTGGCGGATAGGAGCTGACTTTCTCTTTCTCGTACTGATGGTGGAGCATTTTGGGGACCCGTCCTAGAGTTTTCTGTCTGACTCTCATCCTGGGGTGTCTTCATCTTTCTATCTCCTAAGGGTCCTACAAGCCACATGTACAATTGCAGGGCCGTGCCAATGCCTCAAGATGGGCTTCGCCTTTGGTTCTTGTCCCTGTACGTGGCTCCACATCTCCAGTTTGCCATCCTCTGGAAATGCTAACGTTAAATGTCACTTCTGTGTTTTCTGTGATCCACTGTTACTTAGATATGTGATAAGTGGGGTTTAAAAATAAACAGAAGTATCCGAAGAGCTCTCATCACAAGGAAGAAATATTTTTCCTTTTTCTTTTATTTTGTATCTGTATGGGGTGATGGATATTCGCTAAACTTATTTTGGTAATTACTGTAGTTCAAATCACTGATGTAAGTCAAATCATTATGCTGTACACCTTAAACTTATACAGTGCTATGTGTCAATTATATCTTAATAAAACTGGAAGAAAAAAATAAAGCAGTTTAAAAATTTTTTTAAATAAAAAACAAAAATGAACAAACGAGAAAAGATGTAGAGAAGTCTCTTGCCTGTCTCCTTCCCTGGTCCACGTAATTCCCATCTGCATCCAACCTCCTTCTAGAAAATACTGCCAGTGCCTGCAAGGCCAGAGCTGCTTGTTACTTACTGGATGTTAGAGACCTTTCATTTCAACATATGAGGGACTTCCTTACTCTTACCCTTTTTATGGCTGGTGCAATGGAATCCCATTATCCAGATGAAACATCTATTTAACCTGTTCCCTTTGAGGTACATGAAGTCTATTCCAAATCTTTTGCTGTCACGGGTCTCCATCTCTTTATCCAAAACGCTTTGGGCCAGAGGTGGTTTGAAATGTGGAAATTTGGAGATTTTTTTTCAGAAGGGCCACATGGTACATAATCCATTTACTGACTTGAACTGTCACAGAATCTTGGATAATGCCCCACCCAATCAATATATGAAATCCTATAGCAAACTGAATGGATGTTCACAGTAAGTGGAATAAATGAAGGTCATGAGTAGCCTCGTGCTAGAGAGATCAAGGAAAGAAGTCATGAAAAAATATTTTATTTTTGGAGCTTTTGGGGTTGGAAAATTGTGGGTCAGGATGTCAGCCTGAAGAAACAACACAGTAATAAAAAAACCCTTTTTGTACATATATTGTTTTACAAGCCAGTAAAAAACATTGGGTTGGCCAAAAATTTCGTTTGGGTTTTTCTGTAACATGGAAAGACCCGAACGAACTTTTTGGCCAACCAGATATCTGTGGGGTACATTCCTAGCAGAGTAATTTCTGGGTAAAAGGGTGAAGGAATTTTTAGTTTTGATGTATGTGGCCATGTTTCTGTCCAGGTGGACCGTGGCAACTTGTGCTACCCACGTGTGAGAGTTCTGTTTCTTCACGTGCTCGACACACAAGCTCAATAATAAGTGTGTGGATTTTTTTTTCTGGATTTAGAGTTGAAAAATGATCTCATTGTAATCATAATTATAACCATCTCATTAGAGTATTAATTTGTATTTTTCTTTCTGTGAGGGAAATTTGTTATTTCTGTATGTTCTAAATACCCTTTAAAAATAATGTTTTATAACCAGTAAGAGCTACTAGCAAGGTTTACTGAAAAGACTGACATATACATTTAGAATTAAAAAAACAGTAAGACTTCTGCAGAGTTTGGTCCACGTTTGAAGAAGGAATCAGTCAGTCAGGGCTGCTGATGGTGGTTTGACCTGAGGCCATGGACCCTCTTTGCGGTCTGCACGTTTCTTGAAAAAAGAAAGGAGACAAAGCGTGCAATTGTATTGTATCTGTTCTACTTATTTTAGACTTTAATAGCTAGAATGAACAGCATGAAAATAGAAACCCCCAGCAAAAACATCTGCTAAACTGGAGGATTTTAATTCTGAATCTGTGTTTCCTGTGACAGCTCGCCCCGCTTTTGTAATCCAACCCCAGAACACGGAGGTGCTGGTGGGGGAAAGTGTGACCCTGGAGTGCAGCGCCACAGGCCACCCCCCGCCAAGGATCACCTGGACCAGAGGCGACCGGACCCCCGTGCCCGCTGACCCGCGGGTGAGCATCACGCCATCCGGCGGCCTCTACATCCAGAACGTGGAACGGGAGGACAGTGGCGAGTACACCTGCTTCGCCTCCAACACCGTGGACAGCATCCACGCCACGGCTTTCATCATCGTCCAAGGTGAGAGCATCCACGCAGAGGCCCCGGCTCCCCTCGGCCTCCCTGGCTTGCCCTCGAGCCAGCCCCTCCGTGGGCTCCGCCTGGTCTTCCAGTCCCGGAGCCTCTGCTTCAACCTCTCCCATCACATCTGACCTTCGGTGGGACCTGGTGATACGTTTATTTTCCAAGTGCAGGCTTTAGGTGGTCAGAGCTTTATTTTTCGGCTGTGTTCCCCACACGAATGTAGGTACGCATGCCAGTTCACCAAGACCTGCGTGTACGGAATCAGTATGTCTTACACACGTCTTGGAATTTCCTTAGGGTCAATTTTTGGACATAGGGTCTGAGAATATGTATAGTTTTAAGACTTAATGCTGTGTGTTTCCAAATTCCTTAATTGAGTCTGTAATGAGTTTATTAGTTTTCAGATAAACTGCCAAGCGGGACTTTGGTTAAGAAGCGCTGGGACAGCACAGAAGTGAGAAATGCAGAGAATGAGTCCTTTCCTTCTCTTCTGTCCCCACCGGCTTCCTTTGTCCCCAGTGGAAGCCACGTCACTAAAAGTTGGTCCTTAATCCGTCCTCTGGCCCTTTCTTTGCACCTGTGACCGAGCAATCATGTCACTGGTTTTTACCGTTTTTGATTGTGGTTGTTGCTTTTATAAAAATGGAATTATATTGCATATATTATTCTGTCATTTTTTTTCACGCAGTAATGATAAAATAACTCCTGTCACCATGCACAGTTGCGCTAGATGACATTTTATACCATTTGTAAATATTAGTTTAGGTTGAGGAGTGAGATGAATCTCTTCAGGTCAGGCCCCTTCCAGGAGCTGAAGTAGGTCGTTGCCTGTGTTCTGTGTTGTAGCCTCAGTGCTGTTAAATTAAGAGTCTTCTGCACACTTGTCAGTGTGATGCTGAGAAGCACCCAGCGTTTGGTATTCTTCCTTTTCACTTTCCGGCATCTTCCTCTGCTCGGGATGCTGCACCCACAGTCGGGGTCCTGGTAGGACTCTCTGAGGGCGGGCGGTGTGCCTTCAAAACGGCGTTTTCACCCAAAGCTGTCGCCTAAATGTTGCGTTTCCAACGTCTTTCCCTCCGGAAGCGCTTCCTCAGTTCACTGTGACGCCCCAGGACAGAGCTGTCATCGAGGGTCAGACAGTTGAGTTCCACTGTGAGGCGAAGGGCTACCCACAGCCGGTCATCGCCTGGACGAAAGGAGGTGAGGTGTCGGGCAGGACGGTGACCCACTCCCTCTGCCCTTCCCTCCCTGGGACTCGGACCCCCCCGGGGGCTGAACCCGACGTGACCCAGAGCTGCGGGCACGTCCGGTCATGGGCCACCCCCCTCACACACAGGACAGGAGACCTGTCCGCACCGAGGACCTGAATGTCAGGCCCATCTCCTCCCGAGTAGTCTGGGTCCCGCCTTCAGTGTGCACTGAATTAGCCTCTGGAGCAGATTTACTAGTGTGCAGATAGAACTTTCTAGAAACTGGTGGTAGAATACATGTACCGTATATATGACTTTCTCACTTGAATTCCCAGAGTTCTCTTGCTGCTCCCCAAGAGGTGTTGTGACTTGACCACGTTAGTTCCTTGGGTGGGACCCCAGCCGATTTCTCTAGCTGGGAAGCTGCTGGGCACACAATGTGGGGAAGGCCCAGCCCGTCACCCCAGGGGGGGTGACAGCAGCCTGGCCGGGTAGGCTGCGGAGAGGCAGGTGCCAACGTTGGTGGACCATCAGGGTCTGCTCTGGAATCGAGGGGGTGACTAGCGCGGGGCCAAAGGGCACCACCATCCCTTCCTCCCCTGAGGGGCCATTCCCAGGGATCCTGGGAGCAACCTGGGCGAGAGGAGAGCTCGCTGTTTTCGGGTGGAGAGGCTCATCCCTACTTGGAGAGGCTGCTTGTCTCTAAACAGCACCAGCCCATCCCCTTCCCAGCCCGCGACGCCTTCCCACCCCTCGTCCCCTTTCCACCTCCCATCCCTCTATGCCCAGCCTGGGACCGGCCTCTCCCTGTCTCCGAGTCTGCATACCACCCCGGCTCTTGCTTACTTAGCCCTCGACCCCCTGGTCCCTGCCCCTTGCTCCTTCTCTGGAGAGTCTTGGGGGGGCCGGGTCTGTGTGCTATTTGTCCCTGAGCTGTCGCACACGCACAGGTGTGTGACAAAGGCCGGGACGGTGACTCCAGGCCAGATCTGGGGAAGACAAGCTCGACGACCCCTTTGTCCCTCAGTTAGGGTTCTGCCTGACCATGAGGCTCCCGTCTCCCACCTCTAAGGCCAGGCTCGTGTCCATGTATCCCTGTCACTGAGAGTGCATCCCCACCTTGCAGGGAGCCAGCTGTCGGTGGACAGACGGCACCTGGTCCTGTCGTCAGGGACCCTTCGGATCTCGGGCGTCGCCCTGCACGACCAGGGCCAGTACGAGTGCCAGGCCGTCAACATTATCGGCTCCCAGAGTGTCACCGCGCACCTGACAGTCCAGCCCCGAGGTAGGCAGTGGTCCCGCACCCCTCCCTGCGATGGACCGTCCCCTGGACTCGCATCCCGAGAACGTAGTCTAGCCCGTCTCTCCCACGTCGGCAGTGAGGACACTGCCACATGTGGGACACAGGTCACGTTATGTCACTGTGTCATCCCTGCCTTCCCTGGGCGTGAGCGAGGTGGCCCCGGACCCAGCAGCACCGACTGACCCGGGAACAGGCCCCCATGTCCTCCTGGACGCGAGGTTCTGCCTCCTGCTGGCCCCGGGTCCCTGCTGAGAGCCGGGAGAGGAAAGCAGGAGAGGTGATGACCTGGGGGGTGGGCGCAGAGTGGGGCTGCCTGCAGAGGGTCCCTGGGGGTCTGGGCCTGGGTCTGCTCCGGCTGATGGGCTCTGGGTCTGCCCTCCGGTGCCGAGCAGGCAGGACAGTGGGCGGCCCGTGGGTGAGGTCATCAGCCAGTCCCCTGCTTCCTCCCGTCACCAGCTCTTGAGGCGGGGGCGGGGGGGGCTTGGATTTGGCAGCCCCAGGCTGCCCCAAGCAGACCAGAGCCGTGCGGGCAGAGCAGATGCTGCCGCGCAGGTGGAGGGTGGCAGCCCTGGACCGTCCCTCGGTCCTGTCCGGCTCCTTCACTCCGGCAGCTGCAAGCAGGAGCACTCCGTGCCCTGGGCCTGCCCGGGCCGAAGGCGGGGCCTCTGCTCGCCTGAAGCTTTTGTAACAAATCAGGAGTCTCCCGGGTTCTCCACGTGTGTCAGCCCGTGTCCCTTGCCTTGCAGTCACCCCGGTGTTCACCAGCATCCCCAGTGACACAACGGTGGAGGTGGGCAGCAGCGTGCAGCTGCCATGCAGCTCTCAGGGGGAGCCTGAGCCCGCTATCACCTGGAACAAGGTAAGGGCTGCGGCGTGTGGCTGGGGGCAGATGCTTCTCCAGACCCCCCGTAGCTGGAAGGCAGCCATGGTGTAAACAAAATGAGACTTTGGACATGCTCCTTTACGAGTCCTTCTTGGTGACAAAAGCAAAGAAAGCCCTTTTGTTAGATCCTTGGTCCCATAATCACTAGAGAAGGTTTCCTGTTGTTTCATTTCTCTGTGTTGTTCTTATTAAGCCCAGTAAAGAAATGAATATCAGTGTTTCATCGCAAGCGTTTTAATATGAAACTTGTCCCTGGAGGTCATGCAGTGGCACCCCGGGAGGGAAGTGCGGGGCCTCAGGGCCCTGCAGCCTCGGCCTCGCTGGGTGTGGCTCTGGCATCCTGGCTTCTCCCGCACCATCCACCCCAGTACACATCCCACGAAGGTTGCCTTCTGTGGCCATGCCCCGGCACGCGCACCCCAGAGATCCAGGGAAGTCCCACAGAGTGAGGTCTTAAGCTTTTCTGGGTCTTTTGCAAGCAGGTGGGAGAAGTTCATCCCCTTGAATTTGCATTGGGCGAGTTCCTGCCAGCGTCGGCGGGTCTCAGCACAGCCACCGTGATGGATCCATGAGTGAGGTCCTGGCAGATGGTGCCCCTCTCCCGGGTAAATGCCTCTGCTCCGCAGTCTGACCCCACTGTTCCTTCCATTTATCTTGCTCCAGGATGGGGTCCAGGTGACAGAAAGCGGGAAATTTCACATTAGCCCCGAGGGCTTCCTGACCATCCACGACGTGGGGCCTGCGGACGCCGGCCGCTACGAGTGCTCGGCCCGGAACACGATCGGGCAGGCGGCGGTCAGCACAGTGCTCAGCGTGCACGGTGAGCCCGTGGCACTGACGCTCCCCGCGCCGTCGGAGGCGGCCGAGGAGATCAGGGAGCTTGGGGGTTCGGGCACTATCAGAAAACAGCACAGCCTAACCTTGCAGGGAGGTGAGCGGGGCCCAGAGAGGCACAGCCGTCCTTCCTCCTGCTGCTGTAGGCTCTGCAGGCCGATGTGGTCTTGCCCTTGGAGATCTTTCCTCGCTCTGGGTTTCCTGGTTGGTTTAGTGGTCACCCAAACCCCCTCAAATTCTACAGCATGTCATTTACAGTCACCATTTGGCAAAGCACAGACGTAGTTACTGCTGTGAAAGAATCCCGGCCCCTTCACTCTTTGTTTTCTCTCTGTTCTGGGTGTGTGTGGCCTTGTGCGGTCCTGGCCTGTATTAAGTCTTCATTTTAAACCCCCAAATAATCAAGGACCATTCCCTTCCCTGGATCTGGTTGGTGGCCCTAGAGCCAGGTGGACCCCGGCTCTGTGCCGGCCTGCAGAGCTCACCCAGGGCATCCCCTCCAGCCCCACCATCTGGTCCATCCAGGTGTCACCTCCACCTTCCTAACACACCCGATGTGTTCTGGGCCAACAGGGTAAAATGCACAGCCTATAGCTTTGCATAAAGTCTTTTTTAAAAAATATTTTACTTATTTATTTGGTTGTGCTGGGTCTTAGTTGCAGCTCGCGCGCTCCTTAGTTGCGGCATGCGAACTCTCAGTTACAGCATGCGTGTGGGATCTAGTTCCCTGACGAGGGATTGAACCCGGGCCCCCTGCATTGGGAGTGTGGAGTCTTAACCACCGCTCCACCAGGGAAGTCCCTGCATAAAGTCTTACAGTTCGACCCAGACCTGCACTTTGTCTCCAGCTCTCTCTGTGCCCTGCTTTCACCTCCCGCTCCCCAGTACAGAAAGCCAGAGTTCTCAGGTAACAGAGCCTCCACACCCGGGCCACTCCTCTGGACGATCCCCCAGTTCCTCCCGCAGGAAACATCCTCCACCTGCATGTGCGTTTTTGCCTTTCCCACTTTAATCACCTAATCTGCCTTCTCCAAGGGCTGGTGAGCCTCAGACCTGGCTGGGTGTGGTTAATTTATATGCCGACACCTCACACCCCATACTCCACACTCCCTGCCTGGTGCCTGGAGCCTGTGGGCACCTGCAGACAGCAGTGAAGGCAAAACTGGAAACCTTTTTTTTTTTGAGGGGGGGAATGTTAAATGACCTTATTCTCCCATTATATTAGAGTGTGAAGTGATTATAAACTAAATCGGTGAATCTTCTGACTTAAAAACAGTGTTTTTTTCAATTAATGTTTATTTTTATACTTGAAAAATAATGTTACTTTAACATGAATTAGTTATACGTGAAGTTTAAAAATAATCTCCCACCCATAATCCCACTCCCCAAAAATAACCACCCTGAACATTTTAGTGAATTTCCATTACCCTTTTTTAAGGCATATAAATAAGTGTTTTGGGATTATTTTTCTGTGGTCATTGCTTGAAGAAAAACAAAGTCAGTTTAAATCATTGGTAGTAATGAAATATTAGGGTAATAAAGTTATGTAAGATTGTAACGTCCATTGTGTAACACGTGGCATAAAAATATTAGCTTCTAAAAATTAGTAACTTGGGGCTCTGTTTGAGATCGGTGTCAGGAGGGCATATGTCCCAGTCTGGAGGGGGCTGTATTCCAGGAGGGAGGAGTGTGTATCCCAGGACCAAGTGAAGGCAACATTTCAATAAGGACATTTTCAACCGTGTCAGATTTTCTAGAAGGGTTGAGTCTTTTGAAGGAAAAGGATACCGTTTATTAAAATGCATGTTGTTGGTGACCTGGCATGAGACATTTTGAAAAATAAAGATAAAAGATTGGTTGGAGCAAGGTTATTTTATTTAGCAAACTCTAAACGCTAGAAAAATGTCAATATTAAGTGAAAAAGGAATGAAAAGAGGAAAGTAGAAAGGGAGCCGTAGCTTCATAGGTGTCAGGTTTATCCGAGCGTGCCTGAGTGTGCGTGAACATATGTGCACGTATGTATAGTTATGTGTGTGCATATATGGTCACGTATGTGTGTGCACATGTGGTCATGTTGTGTGTGTGTGCGTGCCCACATGCACACATGTTGGGTGTAAGAATGTCTGATCCTTCCTCGAGGGGATAGGGTGAAGGGAGAGCAGAGTCTCGGGAGGGTGGGCGGGCTGAGATCCAGCACCCAGGCAGGTTGGCCTTTGATGGGAGGAACACACAGAATCCACTGGAAGTTAAAACACCACACTCTCCGCCCAGCAGGGCAGCTGCTCTGGTGGGCCTGAGTCAGCGCCTCCCCTATTGGGCGATGCTTTGATAGAAGAACTTCAGTGTTTTAAGTTACAACTACCTTGTCCTTTTATGGGGTATCCCATGATTTAAAAAATTAAGCGTCTGCAACTTCCATACAGTTTGAAAACAGCTTCTCGTAGAATTTGTGATGAAATAACTTAAGGTGGTGTGAAAAGTAGAAATAACATCGGAGAAAAGTATGCCTCAGTCTAAGTGACATAGAGTCTAGACATTATTCTCTGACTCACTTGTGTGCACGTTTTCCGGTGACGTGCAACCTCGCATTTCCTAGTTCCCGATGTCAGTAGGAACGGGGACCCATTTGTAGCCACATCCATTGTTGAAGCAATCGCGACGGTGGACAGAGCCATAAACTCCACACGGACGCACTTGTTTGACAGGTATTTTCAGAGGCGGGCGGGGCCTCAGAGGGTGATTCTCGTACGCGGTTTTCACCTGTTTGATGGGAACAAAACACGGTTTTAATTATAAGCAGTGTTGGTGTTAACTTTGCTGGGGGTTAAGATAACAGAAAGATACTCCTTTCCAAGTAGAAACTGAACTATGATTCACAAACAACATTTAAAAAAATTTTTTGACTCATTTTGGCTCGTTACTCAGTGATTTGGCAAAAACAAAATATTTCATAAGCCCTTCGTGCATTTGTTCATCTTGGCAATTCTAACATGTTTTTTCTGCATTTGAACTGAAATAGTATGTTGGTGTTTTTTTCTATTGACGTAATTAATTATTTGCTTTTAGTGTCTTTTGGTTTTTGTTCGTTTGTTTTGTTGCCTTCCGCTTGGGATGAGTAAGGTACGATACCTTGTGTCTGTAGAAACGTAGCCACAGAAATATTTAAGAGCGATAATTCTCCTTTGGGCGCGAGTGACCTTTGTTCTCAGTCATCTGTTCCGTTCTTCCCTTTTCTTCCCAAACTCCCGCTAGCCGACCCCGCTCCCCTAACGACCTGCTGGCCTTGTTCCGGTACCCACGGGACCCCTACACTGTGGAGCAGGCCCGGGCCGGGGAGATATTCGAGCGGGCACTGCAGCTGATTCAGGAGCACGTGCAGCACGGCCTGATGGTGGACCTGAACGGAACGAGTCAGTACCCGGGCGGGGTCCACACCCCGCAGATCCCTTCCCCGTGACGACGTCCAGCCTGTCGGGCCCGGGGTCTGTGATGATCGTGGTCACGTGCGGGTTGCCTTGAGCTGGGACAGTCCTGTGGCTCCCCAGGTCTGATGGGAGACCCGGCGGTGACCTGGCATGTGCTCAGCATGGGTGGTCGTGCTGTCCTGGACCCCGGGCCCTGACTGTCGGGGCCTCTGGACCTCGGAGGCCGTGGGTCCAGGTTGGGGCTGTTAGGACGCTGATGGAGCCCCAGCAGGTGCTGCGCAGACGGTGAGGGTGAAGCCACCCCCTCCTCTGCCCGCTGCAGGGGCCCCGCCCGGGAGCATCTGCAGGGCCGGAGGGGGGTTAGCGCCCAGACAGCGTTTAGGAGGAAGCGTTTCCCTTGCTGGCCCTTCAGCCGTCAGGAGTTCCTCTGGGCGGCTGTGACGGAGCAGGCGTGCCAGCCTCGCCCTTCTCTCTGGGGAAGCGGGAGATGCCAGGCTCTCGGGTCTGAGCCCGACGCCAGATGGCGACGGCAGCCCAGTGTCCTATCCCTGCAAAGCTCCTCTCTCGCGCAGGCCTCCAGCACTTGTGTGTCTGACTGCTTCTCGCCCAGCCTGGGAAATTTCACCTCCGGCTCTTTACTGCTTTCGTACGTGGGTGCTTAGGACACTGTCCTCTGCAGAGGGGAGCTGCCACCTGTCTTCTTTAAACGTACATGGGAGCCGGTCCCCAAGGGAGAAGCGAGATGCGTGGTGACCACCCCGCAGCCGTGTGGGGAGCGTGGGCCCTGCGTGTGGAGCCCCAGGCGCCGGGTCTGGGAGAGCTCGGAGCGGGAGTCGGTGTCCAGGTCCTTCCCAGACTTCCCTGCGGGAGCTTCCTCACCTCCCTGCTTGTGCTCTCCCGGGTCCCGGCACTGCTGTTCGGTCCGGCAGGCCCAGCTGGCAGGGGCCCCGGGGCAGCGCTCGTGCCCGCCTGGTGCCCGGGCTGCTGAGGCGTGTCTCCACCTTCTGTCCAGGTTACCACTACAACGACCTCGTGTCCCCGCAGTACCTGAGCCTGATCGCCAACCTGTCGGGCTGCACGGCCCACAGGCGCGTCAACAACTGCTCGGACATGTGCTTTCACCAGAAGTACCGGACACATGACGGCACCTGCAACAACCTGCAGCACCCGATGTGGGGCGCCTCACTGACCGCCTTCGAGCGCCTGCTCAAGGCCGTGTACGAGAACGGCTTCAACACGCCCCGTGGGATCGACCCAGGCCGGCACTACCACGGGCACCCACTGCCCATGCCCCGCCTGGTGTCCACGGCCCTCATCGGCACCGAGGCCATCACCCCGGACGAGCAGTTCACCCACATGCTCATGCAGTGGGGCCAGTTCCTGGACCACGACCTGGACTCCACGGTGGTGGCCCTGAGCCAGGCCCGCTTCTCGGACGGGCAGCACTGCAGCTCCACGTGCAGCAGCGACCCGCCCTGCTTCTCGGTGGCCATCCCCCCCGACGACCCGCGGGCGCGCAGCGGGGCCCGCTGCATGTTCTTCGTGCGCTCCAGCCCCGTGTGCGGCAGCGGCATGACGTCACTGCTCATGAACTCCGTGTACCCCCGCGAGCAGATCAACCAGCTCACCTCTTACATCGACGCCTCCAACGTCTACGGCAGCTCCGAGCACGAGGCCCGCGCCATCCGCGACCTGGCCAGCCAGCGGGGCCTGCTGCGCCAGGGCATCGTGCAGCGCTCGGGCAAGCCGCTGCTGCCCTTCGCGGCCGGGCCGCCCACCGAGTGCATGCGTGACGAGAACGAGAGCCCCATCCCCTGCTTCCTGGCTGGCGACCACCGCGCCAACGAGCAGCTCGGCCTGACCAGCATGCACACGCTGTGGTTCCGCGAGCACAACCGCGTGGCCGCCGAGCTGCTGGCGCTGAACCCGCACTGGGATGGCGACACCGTCTACCATGAGGCCCGCAAGGTGGTAGGGGCGCAGGTGCAGCACATCACCTACCGGCACTGGCTGCCCAAGGTGCTGGGCGAGGTGGGCATGAAGATGCTGGGCGAGTACCGTGGCTACGATCCGGGCGCCAACGCCGGCATCTCCAACGCCTTCGCCACGGCCGCCTTCCGGTTCGGGCACACGCTGGTCAACCCGCTGCTGCAGCGGCTGGACGAGAACTTCCAGCCCGCGGCGCACGGCCACGTGCCGCTGCACAAGGCCTTCTTTTCCCCGTTCCGCATCGTGAACGAGGGCGGCATCGACCCGCTGCTCCGCGGCCTGTTCGGCGTGCCGGGCAAGATGCGCGTGCCGTCCCAGCTGCTCAACACGGAGCTCACCGAGCGCCTCTTCTCCATGGCGCACACGGTAGCGCTGGACCTGGCCGCCATCAACATCCAGCGCGGCCGCGACCACGGCATCCCGCCCTACCACGACTACCGCGTCTACTGCAACCTGTCGGCCGCCCACACCTTCGACGACCTGAAGAATGAGATCAGGAGCCCCGAGATCCGAGAGAAGCTGCAACGGTGGGTGTGGCGGAGGGGGCAGCCCAAGGGGGTCGTGGCCCCTGGATTTGAGTCTCTGTCTGTGCAGCCTCGGGGGCAGGGGGCACGTGGAGACGGGGAGGGGGCAGGTTGAGGTTTGACTTCAGAGATGAGGGGCCCTGTCCGGCGGGCCTGAGGGGAGGGGTGCGGAGGGATGAGATCGCTGGGCAGGACGAGACTGACCCGCGGGCGCTTCGGGGAAGAAACCCTACTGCAGCCTCGGGAGCCGGAGCGCCAGCCCTTGGCGCCACAGGACGGACCGGCCCCCAGCTGTGAGGCTTTGTCTGGAGTCCTCTCCCTAAACCTGCTATCCCCCAGACCCGGGCCGGTCGCCACGTCCCCTGCACCCCCGTCCGTCACAGGCAGCAGCCTCCCCCGTCCTGGGAGAGGGCTCACTGGGCCGGGGGCACGGAAGTGGAGGACGCCCGGGGCGCGGGGCAGGGCTCCTGTGGACCCCCGGGCAGCCCCTCCTCCGTGGGCCCACAGAGGCCAAGGCCGGCCCTGTCAGGCCACGAGGGGCCGGGGTCTGGCGGGACGGGGCTTCCTGCCTGTAGCAGCTGCCTCCTCCCCAGAATCTCTGCGTCCGGATCGCTGATTAGACAGGGTCCTCATGACTCACCCGCCCCCGCCCCTCTCGTGTCCAGTCTGCCCTGGCTCCTTAAGTCCTGTTTTTCTCGTTAATTGTTCCAGTCTCTCTGGGGGGGGGGGGG